TTTTGTAATTATAGCCAAAAGTCGACCACAAATTGAAGACAAGACTGAAATACGTGCATTGACTTTTTTAATGGAGCTGTAATACCGAATTTTCGAATCGTTAGAACACTGATTCTATTCTATACGTACTAGAACAGTAGCAACCAGATTGTATATTGATAGTGGACATATTTTAGCAAGATTAAAATGTCATATAAGTTATGCATATTATACCTGACTTTTCGTGCTTGGCTCTTGACCAGAGAACTGCCTGGTAGGCAAGATTAAATGTGTCTGCCTACAGGGTCAAGGTAACATGGGCAGTCTATTCCTAGTTATATGTAAATCGATACATCTGATGACCTAGTGCAAAATGCACTGATGTAGAGCAAGGTGCTCTGGTATAGTGAAAAACGCTCATATACAGTGCAAAACGCACTGCTATTAAGCAAAATGCACCGCTATAGTGGTTTAGAATGTTACACCATGTTGCAATCGGCTTTATACCATGTTGCAATCTCATAAAACGGGTTGCAACATTATTCGAACGAGGTCAATGACCTACCTACCGCCTGTGTGAATCACATACGTGCTACACGTACCGTTACATGTTGGTTAAGACATCCTACAACCTACAAAAATATCGGTATATTCAAGACAACAGTTTTACATTCAAGATGAAAATACAACTGTGCCCAAACTATGCTGTCATCGGAGGGATGCTTTTCATCGAAAAAAGGTATATGTTGAATTTTAAGGTAGTTAAATTTAGTTAGTAAAACTGTATCTATCGTTAATTTTGTAAAATGCGAGATATTTTGTGAATGCGCTTTGAAAATTTTGTCATCATTATCAAGCGATTCATTGCAAGTTTCGTCTAGTTTGTTTTGATGTCAGTAAGGTGAGTGATATTGTTATGTGTGTAAGTAATATGATTGCGTATTCTAATGCTGCGTTGGCAAGAAAATCGATCCATTCTTTTGCTCTTAAACGCTTTCTCTGTGTCTCGATATTTATATTTGTGCAGGGATTGTTATAATCATAAAAGATCATCTATTCTAGTAGAGTGTATTCGTCGGCCAAGAATAGGAATTCGGATGTGCAGTTATAACATAGTTGGCATCTCTTCAATTTACTGAAATTTCTTGTATGTGTGTGCATGTGCCAGTGACCTGTATATGTAGTTATACATACTGAATGACTTTCCATCTGTGTTGGACAGCTTGTCTTATGATTCGGCCGTTCATTCAATAGTGAGTGTAGAAAAATATAGAATCAGCGGGCAAATTTATTATATTTTCCAGCATTTATAGTTGACGTGCATATTTCCGTGGGTAATTTCGTAGATACCGACGATGCTAATGATGGTTATCTCTCTGTCAGAGCGACCTTGGACTCTAAAAATTATCGTTAGTGTGATTTGTATCGCTATGATTATTGTAGCGTAGCCTAGCAGCCATAAGATTCAAGGGAAGAAGTCGTCCTTAATTGATGTATTAATGGTTTTTCAATCGGCTAGGGACTGAAAGTGTCAAGGCTGTATGTAATTGTTTCGTTTAATGGGTTTATGCAAGAGTTTTGGTGGGAATTTGGACGCTTTTCTGTTCTAATTGTCCGCGTTTTCTTTTTATTTGGATGCAAAGGACCTTTCTCTTGTGTGGCGTTTTAGTTGCCGAAGTGAATGCTTAAAATGCTCCAAATGACAATGCCCCAAAGCTATTGAAAATCGGAACTAGCGTTAGATGTTAGCCAACGTTACTGATGAAAGTCCCTTGACTATTAGGCACTTTAAGTGCCTGGAACTAAAAACAGATTGTTAGCGTCCTGTGTGTGTGTTTGTTATTATTCACAAAAGGGTAGTTTAAATTTACGAGTAGTGCTTTAAAGGTGTTTACTGGCGTATTTTTGCCTCCGGTCTTTTGGGAGACAACGGAATTCTTTGTTTAATTTATCGTGAAATGGTACTAAACATACCTCCTAGGCTTAGAAGTAAAATGTGTACGTGCTGCTTTCTTTCACACATTTCTAGCTGGTGTGTTTGTTTAGTCTTTAATTTTAGTGTGTGTGTGTGTTGTGTTGTGTGTGTGTGTGAGCGTGCGTGTGTGTGTGTGTTTGAGTGACTGTATGAGTGTGCGTATGTGTGCGTGTGTTTTAATGTATGTGTGGAGTGTGTACGTGTGTATGTGTGTGAGTGTGTGTGTTTGTGTGTGAGTGTGTGAGTATGTGTGTTCGTAGGACGGGCCTTTTCAAGTAGCTTCTCAGAATTCCTATACTATTGTACTCTACTTAACGCCTATTACTAGACAGATTGTAATACTAGTATATCGTAAAAAGATTGACCCGATTAGGGTAACCATTTTTTCAAAAGCCGGCCTCGGAACGTCCACTCGGCCATAGGAAGTGGGCGGGGCACAACTCACCCACAAAGGTTATTTGTTCTCCATAATATCACCTGTTACTAGAACTATCGCAGAGTGGAACTCGCTGTCACCAAGTAAACAATGTCTAGAGTAAGATGTTCAAGGGTAAGGTGTAACAAGTCGATCGGTGTAATGTAGCCAGCTGCCGCCACGCCGCGTGCCTGTGAAGCGTGTGTTACGCCGAAAGGCGGTTATTACGGCTATACAGATACAGATGTTACCTGTCGAAGATGAATTAAAGACGTCTAGGCCCTTCTTGGACCCTAAATTTCATGACAACGTCGCTGTCTTGTAGAGTGGAAGAGAGAGTTTTGTTTTTCCTGGATGTTGTAAAGCCTTTCTTATCAGTTCCATCGAGTGATGTAATGCAGTAAAACTAGCTCTAGGCGCCGCAGGCTTTCGGAGCTAGCGAGTTGCGGTAAATAGCGGCTATATCCAGCCAGAACTGGATTGTGATGAGTTGAATCCAGCGCGCGAGAGCTTACAGTGCTTCATCATCATCAGGTCGGGCGTGTTGCCCGGACCGAGTCCACTCTCTCTCTCCATGCTGCCCTGTGTTTACGTTGAGTTTTTACTCGGAAACTGAATTCCAAGATTTTGAGCTTTTTAAACATTTCTTCTTTAGATATAAAGTTCTTTAGATATAAACTTCTAGTTTCGTCTCAATTCTTTGGGAGAACTATGGATATTTTGCAAATGGGAGAGAGACTACCTTTTCATTAAAATTATTCGATATCTTGGGTTGTGCACTCATAATCTAGAGATATGCATTTGACATTAGCTGAAACGGTATATTGTACTCCCTTAGTATGCTATTTGTCTATTTGGCCAATTTCTACTCTTCCCAGTCCCTCAAAGGCCTTGTAGAGGCTAGCTTTGCATAACCAAATTTCCAAGAAGAAATAAAATGGGGTTGAATCGTTGATAATGAAATAATAATTGATTAAGATATTGATATCGCATTTACAGCCAGCCAATGGTAGAACGAGTTGCACAGGTGTCTTTCGCGCCATTTCGCACGAAATGTGGCATACGTGCGGGTTTCCAGGATTCGATAGAACGTGTTCGATAGAACACCGTCCAGTTCTTAGAAAGCGAGAGGACATGTAGCAAATTACGTGCTGTAATCTTCTTCCCTCCGCTAGATGTCGCTATTTGCATGACCGCTGGTGACCGCTATTCCCTCGATGTGATGTTATTTGAAGGTTGTTTATAACAGATATATCATCATAGGGGTGACGTAATATGTTTTTCTCTCACGAAGAGATGAATTTATTGATTTTCTTGGAGATGCAACCCTGCCGTTTCGAACGAACCCAAACAGAGCCCAGTATCAGTCCAAAGGGTAATACTCTTTGTCAGTGGGCGTGATGTCGGTCTAAGAAACATCGAATCTTTATTGACACATTGAGGAATGATTGACAGGTGTACCTAACGATAGGAAGCTGCCCTGTTACCGGGAGACAAGTGTGTAAACAGCGAACAGGTTGCCAAGAGCTATCTGCCCACGTCCTTCAAGATTTTGCAAGAATGCTAGCCTCAGTAGCAGGCTTAAATAGAACTGGGGGTTTGGACAATGGTGGTCTTCGGCTGCTTTCTGATTATCCCAGTTCTAAAAAAAATGGGGGTAATTCAACCAGGCCGACTATCATCACTATGTTGTCTATATGCAATCAGAAAACAGCACATAAAAGCTCCCAAAGACCCCCAACCCCCTCCCCAGGTTTTTGGCATGCTATGGAGGCTACTATCTGCCCACTACCCCACGTCCTTCAAGATTTTGCAAGAAAGCGACCCCTTTCTTTGTGTTTTTGGCTTCAGAAATGCGCTTTACGTCCAGCAAGAGCAAATTGTGTCACCGATTGCCCAACTAGACAGACGCCCAGGTCTTGCCTGTTGCCCCTTTGGCCCTAAATCTCCATTTTTAAGCCGCTCTGTCGGTTATTTCTTGTGGAAATGTTCCAGAGACAAGATTGACGATTGAGGTACCCGAAAAGATCAACATGACCCTGGTCGTATCAAATTTCCAGGCTGACCAATCACAGCGGAGAACGGCTCAACCAATCGCTGAAAGGGATGGGCCGTTTCGACCAATCAGGCGCCGAGAATCCTAACTTATCACAGATGTCATGTGACGTTGTTTTCTTGAAAACGCCGGTGGCAAAAACAAATCCTTATAATGTTTTCGTATCATCACGAACTTCATTGAAATGAATCTGGATTTGATATGCGATGAAATTTGTCAAGTACAACATGTTGGGGTAAGTAAAAATTATAATACTTCATGTTCAAATGTACATCAAGGTATAACGTTAGAATGTTGTCATAAGATTTGCCGAAAAACAGGTATTTCTGTGTCCATGTCGTATTTCACTGTTACAAGATCAAGTTTTAGTTCATAATTAAAGGGTTTTAGATGCTTATGGATGATCGTGATTAATTTTTTTGTACAGCTAGATATTTGAAGCATATAGTATCAGAATTGTCGTGAATTTGTACTAAATTATTGGGGGATAAGATTTAAAAAAAAAAATTGACGTGAACCAGTTTATTGCGTGTTTTACCGGCGCATGGGCCCCACGCCCCCAAGTACCAAAACAAACCGGCACGAAAAACACCGGCTTTTGCAAGACTGCGGAAGGCACGTTTCTTGCTCTCTCGGTACCTCCTTGGATCGCTTTCTTATCTTTTCAAGACACAATTGTCCAGCTAGTCGACTTCTTGAGGAACTGGAAGCTGTGAAGGTCAGTTGTGAAGGAATTTGAGGCAAATTTTGCGCCGCGTCGTCTGAAAATTGTAGCAAAATCTGGCTACGAGCATGGACAGTCCGTCTGGGTGAGTGACCGGTATCTTCTTGGTCGGACAGAGAGTATTTTGCAGAGACAGAAAAACAGCCTTTTCTTGGCGAATTCTTCGCAGATTTTCACGTCTAAAGCCTGCCAGCTTTCTTCACGACACTGTGGAGTCAGTCCAACACCACCTCAAGCATGCTTGTGGGCAAGCGGATCGCGAAAAGATCAATCGTCGGTAGTCGAGTGTGTGTGCCCGGCAAGGATGGCTACCTCCACCCGGGGGTGATCCGGGCCACGAAGTCGGACTCACCCGGGCCGGGGGACGCTACAGCCTACTCTGTGGCCTTAGACACAGGAGAAATCGTCGAGTTAACCGAGGAGAAGCTGGTGGGTTGCGGGTTTCGCGGCATGGGAGGGCTCCGGCTCGAGCCCGGCCAGCGGGTGTTCCTCACCCACCACGGGCGGGAGGTAAGCGGCTCGGTCACCGAGCACCAGGCGGAGAAACTAGCGGTGATCGTGCAGCTTGCCGACCGGGACCAGGCCACCGGGAGGCCCGTGGTGGTCCAGCGGAGGGTCGAGGACTTGCGCCTGCTGGAGAGCCGAAAGTCGGCCCGCCTCGTGGACCATCAAGACCGGGACTTCGCCAAGCTCGCCGACCCGGCCCCGCAAAGCGACCGAAAACGCGGCGTTTCTCACAACATCGATGTCCCCAAGAAAGACAGGTAAAATTCCAACTCCCTTATAAATCTATTTTAGAGCCTTTCCCCTGATTTTAGCGCTATTTTTCAGTCGTAAATCTGTTGTCGCTTCTTCGTAAACAACTCAAAATTATGAAGCGTGAAAAAAGCCGGTTGACCCATGCGGCGTGGGGCCCACATGTCCTGAGAAAAAGTGCGGTTATATCTCGATTATTTCAAACAAAACGGCCCAAACAGCTAAAATATTATTGCTTACATGTATAGCAACGTTTTGTAGATTTATATAGAGTACAATGTTGTAATATTTTGCTGCTATTATGTGTAAAAACTGGTTGTATTTCTAGAATCCTCTGTCAGTGTTACGCCCCCGACCCCAAAACCGGCTCCCTCGACAAAAACACGCTACTAGAGTTACAAGTCATGTCTTCCGGCGCCTTTGTCCCTGTTTATCAACACGTTTTACCTAATTATTCTCATTTCCAGGCCACAAAAACACCTTCTAAACACAATCATCATGTTTTTTTAGATGTAGGATCTATTAGAATCCTACATTTTAGTTCCTGTCGTTGTTTGTCGTCTTTTGCGTTGTATTTTTCTTTCCCGCCACACAGAAAAAGTCCCTGACTCATAATTTGGAAGTCCCCTTTTCACTGTGTGCGCATTCAATTATATCTGTCCTGAAGGCAATTTTGAAAACAAAACAAGTCTGTTTTCGTGTTTGTTTCAACTTAGAGTTTCCAAAAGACCTTGGCCATAGTCAAAGAGCTTTTTCATGATTCGGAAACAAACAAAAAAGAAAATCGTTTGTAATTTTCCACTCCAAAATGCCACAAAATCACTCTTATTTTTAGCCGTTCTAAGTTCTAGTTCTATATAAAGTCGTTGCGTCTCAAACAATCTGTTCTTGAAAATTCGTTAGAAATAGATCTTGCTTTCAATGTTGTCTTAAAATATTGAAAGCAGTAAGCAAAATATTTGAACTCTACTGACTCCCAACAATGGACGGATTATGTTGAAAATAAGCCGGTATCAATTCATTCCTCCTTTATCTTTTAATTCCTGTGGTTTTATACATATTTCCGACGCGCGCTCGCTTCTGGCCGGTGTCTCTATTTAACGAGGGTGGCTTTCGGACCGCAAGGATGCCGTCTGCGGTTTTTTGTGCGTTCCAAAGTCTGCAAAAACGCCGCAAAAAGCCGGGTGACTGAACCCGAGTTGTTGTTTTCGCCGGCCGGCTCCTTGTGTTGACACAGAGCCTGATGGATATTGATATGCAAATGAGGGTCACGGGAGGTCAAACTTGTTTTCGTCCTAGTCGGCTCTCTTAAGAGGGCCCCATAGGTAGTATTTTTTTTACCCTGATGATATATTGATGGAATCAGAAATAAACATTTTTACACAAAAACGTTTCAATTCCACATAATTTAAGAGACTGGAAGAATTTTGTAATCCAGTAGTGATGTTTTCGTCCTAAAAATTGGCTAAGTTTTGGCAACAGTATGTGATTGTATCTGGAGGTATGGGGTCTTGCTCCTTTTGAAGTCCCTACTATGCAATAGCATGTGCAGGTTGCAATACATCATTTTGAGTTCAACTTGGCGGCTCTAAATAAAATCTGTGTCACTGTCTGGAATAATATGTGGGGTTGGAAGTTAAGTTTTGGAAAATGGCCTCCTTTTCTCTTCCAGGGATTGCTATTTTACTGTAAAGTAGCGAATTTGTGGAGGATAAGCTTTGCTACTGTGAAAATTATTAGTGTGGGAAGGCTTAAAATTTTCTTGTTCAAAAGTCTTCCTCAGTGGCAAAAATATTGAAGTAAAATTTCAATAAAAATCAATACAAATCACAAATTCCTAAGTAACACTCATCATACCCAAACATTGTTATTTGTCACTCGCTATCATTTGTTTGGTCTAAAATCTCTTGAATCAAGGTGTGATTATCTAATGTGAAAAAGATCATCCCAATAATCACCAACCATTGTTTGCTAATAGGTTTAAGTGAGATTAGTAGGTCAGGTTTTACCACCAAAGGTGTTAACGGCCAAGTGCTAAGCCTCTAACTATCCTGATCTTATTAGTATTTAGTGTGTCATTCCAGCAGTCTAGCCAAACAGTGGAGGATGGCCTGGGAGATATGCTTGGCAATTTTCCAGCTTTCCTATATTTGTTGTCAGAAGGCCAGAGAAAAGATAGACACTGCTTAAATCTCCTGCTACATGTAGCATTAGCCTCCATAGCATGCCAAAAACTGGGTTTTTTTTCATGGTGTTTGGGAGCTTTTATGTGTTTTTTTTCTAATTGCATATAGACAACATAGCCGGCCTGAACGTTTTTTTGAATTGGGCTAATCAGAAAACAGCGTAAGACCACCAAACCCCCATTTCTATAACTTAATAATAAGCCTGCTACGGAGGCTATGCTAGCCTCAACCAGGCTTTGGAAGTAGCTGGAAAGAGTCAGTAAATATTGGCTGATCTCCTAAGGCTAATCTCCTAGCAGATCTTTTGGTGGCCACAAAAGACAGTATCAAATTGGCCAGGCAGTATCCAATAGCAACCTGGCTAATGGACACTCCTCTGGTTAATGAATACTGCCTTGCCACTGTATGATCTGCTTGGAGATTAGACATTGGCCAAATAGAGAGATCATCACCATCACATATGGAACCTGTAAAAAACAAAAAAAAAAGGTGATCAGAGATGGCAGACCTCACCCCTTTACCCATACTGCTTTGCGACTCTTCCAGACACAAATATTAAAGAGCCTTGGCGAAAACCAGTCTAAACGGGAACTACGCAGTTTTGGCCGCTTTACTGAAGGATGACTTCGGTGGAAAAGATGTTGGTTTTCTACAGAATTAGTCCACTTCCTAGCCAGGATGTCTTTCTATTTAGTTTACTGGGGCTCCCATACTTTCCCCATCACATTTAAAGTATGGAAGCCAAACTAAATAGCGACATTGGCACTCAGGCTAACTTTTCCCAGCAACTGTCAACAAAAAAATGATGTCCTCGCATGACCCAACTAGAGTCCAGTAAGACAGTTTTCCTCTTTGTGTAATCCCTAGCAAGATTTCCCCCACCCAAGTTTAAGCCTGCATATATCAATGTCAAGGTGCTTCAGTGTCTTTTCTCTAGATACGTGTATGTGTCTTGTAGCTTTGTGTTGAATGGTATGGTCCCATAGGTGTTTTGTATTTATCCAAAGTCTGGGGGTGGGGTGTTCTTTGTCAGTCTGCGGGGATGTTTTTAAGTGGCTGAATGACTGAATTGTTCGTCTTCAAAAACAAGTTCGCTGTTTGTAGTTCCCTCTGCTTTGAAGTGCTAGCTCTTTGGGACATACCATCCGGTTGGATTATTACGGGGGTGTCCAGAACTCTCTCGAAAATGTGGTAAACACCACGCGGTGAGCGCTACCCAGGCGTGAAATCTCTTTTGTGATTGGCTCCCGGGCCAGAGGGTGAAAATAGAGTGGTCCAAACAAAGACCCTGTGGTTTTGGGCACTCGCTATCAATGCCCCAACACCTGTACTTCAAACCACTAAGTGCGCTAGTAAAACAGGGGGAGGGCTTTTAAAGTACACAACTCGGATAACGCACAGGTTGTTGTTCCTAGAGGCATCTGTTTTCGCTGACCGTGCATTTTCTTGTTGGTTACTTTAGACATTGGTTGTATGGTTTACGTCTATCTGTACTGCTATTGTTTAGAAATGGGCCAAGGTGACATACTAGTCCACTGTTGTTGACAGAACAGAAGGGCCTTGGTTGGAGCAGGTGTGATAAGACTTGTTTGTCACTGGCTGTTAGTCTTGGGGAAAGTTCAGTAATACTTGTCACTGGTGGTAAGTTTGGGGGAAAGTTCACTATTGCCTGTGGTTGCAAGGAGGTTCTATCAATACACCTTGATGGTAAAAATTTTTTAACATTCTGCTTCCAGAGTGTACTTTGGTGCCTTGACACAATTTTTCTTTTCTTAGCTTTTGGAATTTTTTTAAAAGAAGAAAACCTTCTAAAAATTCTACATTTTTGGTTCGTTTCAATGTTTGCCAACTTTTGCAGTGTATTTTTCTTTCCCGTGATACAGAAAAAGTCCCTGACTATTTGGGAAGTCCTCTTTCTCTAATTGTCAGTACGTGCACATTTATTCTAAAAGCAATTAAGGAAAAAAGAAGTTCTTCCCTGAGTCTGTAACAACCAAGGGACTACTGTCCTCTTGCCCACCCCTTTCGCAGTGATACAATGGTCTGGTCGGTCCCACTAGCTAATGTTGTTGACCCGCTCGTGCCAAGTGGCATATGGTCGTCTCTGGTCGTCTGGTGGTTTTGGCGGGAAGCAGGCGATCATGTGACCTCTCCGTCGGACAATGGGCACTTTGAGAATGGCTAAAAGCCTCATTGTGCTCCCCGCTTTCTTCTTACAGCCAACAAAAGAATTCTTGGCATCTTAGAGCCGAGTAGTGTGACTGTGTTTTTCACTGCAGAGTCCTTGCATAGTGTTTCTAGCGACTGCATACATATCTGATATACATGTAAAATGATGTACTACATGTACTATAGAACTGGCCTCTCTTTTAAACAGTGGAAAGATATGACCACTTGAAGTAGCCAGTACGTAATTTGTTTCTATGCATGTAAAGTCTTAAAACTCCTTTTCGTCCTGTAACATTTCATACTTAAAAGTAGTCATACAATTTCTTTGACAGACTTTCTTGTTCCTCATTTCACACGAATGACAAAACTGTAGTTTTGTTGGATGGAATCCAGTATGCTATGGTCTGTGTCCAAGAATATTACCTCAGCACACTTGACAAAACACAAAGCATGATGAGGGCCCCAGGCTTTTGCAAAGACTTAAAAGCTCTAAAGCTCTTAAAAGGAGATTTAAAGTTTATACAGATCTCCTTTCTAGTAAAAGAAATCACAACTGTGCACTGGTGCCAAAATTTTAGAAAGGGGGAATTGGGTTTGAACTTTGAATTCTTCACTACCTATGATTCTGCTCTTGACAAAGTAGGGAGACAGAC